TAGAAGTCTGACTGCTGGAACCTTTCAATCACCTCTGCCTCTGTCCTACCTCCAGCAGTCTTCCTTGATGGGCCCACCCCCAGACTCTTGACCAGCCAGACTCCTGGCGACAGCAGCATCCACCACCATCTGAAATTCGGGGGACCCTTTATATTGCTCCACTGCTGCGACGCATAGATCAGGGTAGGCCGCCTTTTCAGACGCCGCCTTCGCCCTCTCCTCGTCCAGCTCCCTTTGCAGGGCCCCCCTTTCAGCAGCCACCGTCGCCCTCTCCTCCTCCCCCCCCTTCCTCAGACTCTCCAGCTCCACCGCCGCCTTCGCCTTCTCCACCTCCCACTCCCTCAGAAGCCTCCCCTTCTCCTCCTCTGCTCTGGCACGCTCCTCCCCCAACTCCTTCAACAGATCTCCAATTCTGAAGTCCGCTTCATCCTTTTGCCTGACCAGCTCTTCATTGCTGGTCATGGCCTCTTCATGCCGCTCGATTGCCACAGCGCAGGCCCTCTCAGCCTCTTCCAACTTTTTCTGTTCACCAGACAGTTGGAACTCGAGCGACACGACCCTACGGCGTGTGTCCTCCAGCTCCAACTTGACTACTGGCAGAACGGCATGGGGGGCCCGGCCGTCGGCACTGTCTTCTCTGTTTCCCACTCCCTCAGAAGCCTCCCCTTCTCCTCCTCTGCTCTGGCGCGCTCCTCCTCCAACTCCTTCAACAGATCTCCAATTCTGGAATCTGCTTCATCCTTTTGCCTGACCAGCTCTTCATTGCTGCTCATGGCCTCTTCATGCCGCTCGACTGCAACGGCGCAGGCCCTTTCAGACTCTTCCAACTTTTTCTGTTCGCCAGCCAGTTAGAACTCGAGCGACACGACCTTAAGGCGTGCGTCCTCCAGCTCCAACTTGACTGCCGGCAGATCAGTATGGGCAGTCTTCCAGTCGGCACTGTCCTTCTTCAATTTGGCCAACTAGGCCTTGGCCTCTTCAGCCTTTAACTTGGCAGCCCCTGCCTTCCTAAGAAGGGCCCTGCCAAGGTAGTTACCTCCATTTGGGCGGAGCATAACCCCCTCTGCAGGTCAGCCTCATTATATCCTGATGCCGCGTGCAGAGCTGTCTCCTCCACAATCTTCACCAAGCGGTCTGCCCCCGCCCTGGCTGGGCCTTCTTCTCCCTCCAATCTTCCAGCTACCGCGTGCGCGTGATAGATTGCCGTACCCAGGCGAACCCCTCCTTCTTGGGGGGCAAGCCCCTTCTGGACCTGCTCCCTTCCGCTCGGCGCCGCCTCAGTCAGCCCAGCCTCTACTTGCACTGTTGGAGCAATCTCCACAACCTCCACTGTTGGGATGACCTCCACCACCTCTGGGGCATCCTTGGCCACAGGGACCTCCACCTGAGTTGGGGCCACCTTAGCCCTCTTGGCCCCAGACTCATCTGCGGCTTCCTCTGGGGCACTCCTCTTCTTCTTCTTCTTCTTCTTTTTCAGAGCCTTCCCCTCCTTTCTGGCCTGTTCTTTTACAGGGTCTACGGGGAGCGGCCGCGGCTCAAAACTGCTCAAGTTTTTTTCCCCCAACGGCCTTGGGCGCGGTCGGATCCTCTCCCGCGCGATCGGTTGAGGCGGTCGGTCTCCTCGCGCTTCCTTCAACTTCGTGGCCTTGGCCAGAACGGCCTGATCCTCTACCTCTTGAGCTTTTCTTCTCGCCTCCAATTCTGCTCGGTCGAGGTCCCCACCCTTCGGCTGTGGTCCCAGCCCCGCCTCAAACAATGCGGACGGTTGAACAAGCTCGTCCCATCTGGCCTTCTCTCTCTCTTTCCACTCCACTCCTTCACCCTCTTCACCCTCTCTTCCGCCATTGCCCCCAGTCTCGACTCCATCGACCTAGTTGGCACCTTCCAGATGGTGCGCACCCCCACTCCCCCATTAGCAGACACGTAGAACCACCGTGGGCGCCACCCCTTGATCGATGTCGGCAGCCCCGCCACCAATCCCCTCCCCATCACCGCCTGTAGGGTGACCCAAGTTTCTTGCTGCCCCGACGCCTTGTAACACGAAAAGAACTCGTCTACCGTCATGGCCTCCCCTCCATTCGCCTTGGGCCACGTACTCGCACAGGCCAGCAGAATCTTCCATGCATTGGGCATCAATTGCCCCGGCGCCACCTCTAGGCGATTCAGCACGTCAACCACCACTTGGGGCAATGGCAACCTCAGCCCACCTTTTAGCGCCTCCTCGTACAGGGAAAACTCCCCTGGCCTAGCAGTAGACGGCCTTTCCCTTGATGTTGGCAGCAATAACTCCATCTCCGCCGGAATCTGGTATCGTTCCTTGATAACCTCCAAATCCGCCGCCGTGAGTATAGATTTGTCCGCCTTAGTGTGCCACTGATCTGGCTCTACCTGGCTTAGTGGCTTTGGAGCCAATATCAGGGCTAACGCCTGCGATTCTCCCACTGGTTCCCCCACCCCCGCCCCCACCATCCGTGTCTCCGTCCTATATCGCGCTGCTAACTCCTCCGCATCATCGTCTCCCAACGGGTCCACCCTCACGTTGACTACTTCTTCTTGTGCCATTTCTAGGGTTTGCTTACAAATCACTTCTGACGCAGGAGCAAGGAAGTTGAGAAAATGCTACACAGGTGTGTCGTACGCAATGAAAGAATTAACACTTGGATATTTTGAGTTTTTGTAAAACGGTAGGTTAGGCGTATTATACCAAAAACCCACGGTTTACCCGTATTCCATGGATCCACATTAATTTTCGCCCGTTTCAAAACCTTTCAAATCAACCGCCAAAACCGCCTTTTCAAAACCTCCCTCATGACCTATCGTTTCATTTCTGCTCCAACGCTTCACTTCCTCCACGATATTGCCACGTGTATGGCCACGATGCACTGTCTCCTCCCCTTACCTTGTCATTTCCATTTCAAATCATCACATGGCCCCATCCTACCCCCTCTCTTTTTGAGCCCCACGTCGTCCTGGTCGGCACGCCTCTCTGTCAACCCCTCCCGCTTGGCCACCCTCGCGGTCGGCACGCCTCTCGGTCGACCCCTCCTGCTTGGCCACCCTCGCGATCGGCACGCCTCTCGGTCGACCCCTCCCGCTCGGCCACCCTCGCGGTCGGCACGCCTCTCGGTCGACCCCTCCTGCTTGGCCACCCTCGCGATCGGGCCACGATGCACTGTCCCCTCCCCTTACCCTGTCTTTTCCATTTCAAATCATCACATGGCCCCACCCTACCCCCTCTCTTTTTGAGCCCCGCGCCGTCCTGGTCGGCACGCCTCACGGTCGACCCCTCCCGTTCGGCCACCCTCGCGGTCGGCATGCCTCTCGGTCGACCCCTCCCGCTCGGCCACCCTCACGGTCAGCTTCTCCCGTTCAGTCACCCTTGCGGTCGGCACGGCTTCACTTCTCTTCCTTATTACTATTCCCTTCGTTGGGCTAAAGCTGCACTCGGAAATGGGGGACTACTGACATGGATAGGCCCACAAGGCATACGGCCCACAGCAAATCACCCCAAACCCATCGCTTGGGACCAATAGCATAACCCGGTTGGCAAAGCCCAGGACAGCTGGAGGCCATCTAGGCATGGGGGGCCAATAGCATTCGGGCACATGGCAGGTGGAACACAGGCCACATCAGCAGACAAAGATTTGCAGAGTTATTACCACAACACATCACCATTAATGCAGCCCATCACAGCATTTATTACGACAACATCTCCCCAACGGAACAGGGCCCCCTTACCCTGAACAAGGTAAGCTACGGCACAGGCTTTTGGCGGAAGGGGGGCACGTCACAAGGGACAATGAAATGATTACCAAAGGATATAAGCAAGAATAGAAAGATACGAGGAAGGTTAAGCTTCTTATCTCTCTCTCTCTCTCTCTCTCTACATTTCCTTCTTCCACTGCTAATTCTCTCGCCGGAGGGTTCACTGGGGGACTGCCCCGTTCCCCTTTGGACTTGCTTGCAGGTCATTTGACGGAATCATCACCCTGAACCGGAACTTGAAGAGCCTGGACCAGCCCGACCCATCCACCCGGGACGGACAGCATTATCAAATATTATCATCGTGCCTTGTGACACATCCTTTAAAGAGCCCTTCAACCCCTTGCAAGCCCCAACCACACTCCACCCACTTGTGGCCACCCCACCGATGATCATCACATTTTTCCATCATCCACCATCAACCACCGCTTCTGGTAACTTACCAAACTTAATTCTCTATTTTCAAAATATTTTTGTTTACCAAATAAATTTCTCATTTTAATTTTTTACAAAATAAAACAAAAACTAACAATGTTAACAAATAATTTTGAAAGTTTTTTTTTTTTCTTTCTTTATTTTTGTTCAACTAGTGCCATATATTGAACTAACTAGGTCTAGTCTACTTGGCCACCATGTCTTCTTTAGAATTTAGTCCCAATGAGGTCATGGATTCAATTTCTTTCAAGGGAGTTGAATTAAAAGAGTACAAGCACTTAAGTGCTTTGCCAAGTTTTCTCTCATAAATATTAATCTAACAACTAACAATTAACATTTACTGATAAAAAGAAAAAAAAAAACTAGTGCCATATATTGATTAATTATGGCATGAATTAATCTCTTCCGTTGCTTAATACACAATAGATATCCTATGTATATGTAAAATTATCTTATTTAAATAACAATAATAATAAATCCATATAATGGGTATAAAAAAAAAATTGACTAATATCATTTTCATTTAGATAATATTGTGCTTACAGATTTTTTTTATACAATTTTATTTACTAGAATAATTTAGTAACATCATTTTTGTAAATATCATTTCACTGAAATGTTAAATCCAAATGAGTCATTGAGTCAAATTTGGCCTTAAAAATTTGCATATTTTGGCGTTAGGTACGGAGTTGTTGACTTGTTACCTACCAACCAAGACTCCAACAAATGGAGTTGTCAAATCAGCCACAATATTCTTATTCTAAAAAAATATCTAGAATCTGAATTTGGTGATGAATAAAATCTGATTTCCCATATTTTCAATTATGAATTGATATTTATAAAAATATTGCATGAACAACATTACTAATATTTCAAAACCAATTAATAGACCACTTTGTATGTTGATTCGAGCAGCAAATCAAATCGGAAGCGTAGGTCGTGAACTCTTCCAATCATCCACCGTCCATTAGAAATACAAATACATATGACATAACAAAAGATAATAAAAATAAAAGCAAAATATCATATTATTTGGTTTTTGTCCAGCAATGGGTTGGAATCAGCAGACACGCCGGCACAGGGTAATGCCATCGCCGACGGGAAGCATGCAGATCTCGATGCGGGGATCGGCGGCGAGTGCCTTGTTGAGCTCCAAGACGAAGTCTCTGTAGTACCTTACGTACTTCCTCATCGGAGCGTCCGGAGGCGCCACCACAGAGCCGTTCCAGAGGGTGTTATCGTAGCCGATCAGTCCCCCAACCTTCACCAGATCAATCAGCCTCTTGTGGTAGTTGATGTAGTTGTCCTTGTCAGCGTCCACGAAAATGAAATCAAACGACCCATGATGCTTTCCCTGTAAAATTCATCACATTTGAATTAGTCAATTACAGAAACAAACAAATGATTGATAAAAAATCAACATAATTTAAAAAATATATATATATATCGGTAAGCCAAATTCACCCTAATGGGGTTGGTGTTATCAATCTTTTAACTTTTGTTTGGATTATTTGCACTAGTTGTTGTGTAAGAATTTTTGTTTAGATAATTCATATCATCCCTACCTAGTATTTTGATCTAATATTTTGATTCTTTTAGTAGTGTCATTTTGATCCAAAGAGTAAAAGTCCAAAATGATAATTCATATCATCCCTACTTTAGTATTTTGATCTAAAATTTTGATTCATTTAGTAGTGTAGTGTCGTATTGTTCCAAAGAGTAACTGATGCTTTGGCAATCTAATAAAAAGTCAGCTTTTGACTTTTTATTTATTTTGGATCACATCACCTCTCACATTTTTTACTCATAAAAAAACAAAATAAACTAAAAAATGTCAAAAAGTCAACTTTTTACCAACTTTACAACACACCACAGTCAAAAATATGGAATAAAGAAAGTGTTCCCATAACTCCAGCTATCCAATTTTATTACGATGGACTTAAATTGTGTTTGGATTATGGATTCAAACAATAGTTTATAGATTCAAGCTATGTTTAGCCCACAGATTCAAAAAGAGGTTTGTAGACTTAAATTGTGTTTAGATCATGGATTCTAAGACTCTAAGGTCATGTTTGATTCACAATACTAATAGTGAGGTATTAATAATCCTATCAAATTAGTGTGGTATTAACTATCCCACCCCTACCCCATTACTAATAATCCTACAAATTTATTGGATTAATTATCCATTGGATTAATAGTCCTAAACCAAAATGTCAAAACAAACATAGGATGATTGGGCCCACGGATTAATAATCCTAATCCCATGCTTTAATCCTTCCAATCAAACATGCTCTAAGTTCATGATCCAAATAGAATCAAAGATTACTCTTATTTTTTTTAGTTATAAGATAATCAAACTACTCTTCATCGGATTTGAATACACAACCTCACATTTTAAAGTAGTTAAATACCTGATTAAGTCAAGAATTACTTATCTCATTTTTGAAATGTCTCCCCTTCTATTAAGCCTGAATCTTTTATTTTCAAATTTATTTGAAATCCTGAGACATTAATGGGTTAATGATCATGATGATCAAATACGAAAAATATTTTGATCTTGTAACTCTTGATCATTTTGTATTCCATCCCTTTTCACAATAATAGGATACAACTCGGAAACTGTTAATTTGGAGGATCACTTTTATATCCAAACAAGAAATTTAGGATTAATCCAATTTCATGCCCTTACCCCAAAACAAACATATCCATAGAGATTAGAGAGAAATTTTGATGGGTTTGATGAAAGCTTACATCTTCGATCATTTGATCGAGAGCAGGCAGAGCAGGGCCTTCTCTGAAGTCGATTTTGTGAGCGACGCCGGCCTTTTCAATTATCGGCAGACCGATTTCGAAGTTTTCTCTGTTAATGTCCATTGCCAAAATCTACAACAATCAAATACACAAAATTTCCAAGTTAAATTGCTGATTCTACTTTTTACAACCACCCTCTCTGTTTGGTTAGCAAGAAAATGCAAAGAAAGAACAGGAAAAAAAAAAGAAAAAAAAAAAGAAGATTTGAACTCCTATTCATCAAATTTCTTAGCAGCAAAACTAGGGGATTGATAATGTTTGTTTGATTCTAGTACCTTCCCATCATCGGGGAGAGCAAGGGCGGTGGCGAGAAGAGAGTAACCAGTGTAAACACCGATTTCCATGGTGTTCTTGGCGTTGATAAGCTTCAAAAGCATGTTCAAGAACTGACCTTCGTCGGCAGAGGTAGTCATGATGTTCCTGTTTCACAAATTCATAACATCAACACAAATTCGAAACAAATTCCAACTTGATCCTCGTACACATCACAATTTCAGAACCTGTTTGGTATATTTTTTTTATGTTTTCTGAAAAATTACTAAAAATTAGTTTGGTGAAAATAAAAACAGAGCTCACCCTGGATGTTGTTTTGAGTGTTTTTCAAAGAAATTAGAACCAAATTAGTCTGCAGATTTGATTTTTATTTTTATTTTTTTTTACTTTTACAAATCAGATTCTGAAAACGAAAGCAAACATAACTCACCGTGGATGCTGATTTTAGTGTTTTTAAGAAAACAGAACCAAATTAGTTTCCAATGTCTTTTTAAGGAAACCAAACATTACTCACCACGGATTTTTAAAATCTATTTCCAGGAAAAAACTAGTTTGGTGAAAATAAATATAACTCACCATAAATGATGTTTAAACCTTTAAGTTTCAGAAACAGAACTCACCATGGATGTTTTGCAGTGACCTCTCTGAGCTCCTTCATCGCCTCTGGCTCTCTTGGGTAAACACTGGTCTCAAGTATATACTGCAAAAACCAACAAAACCCAGATCAGAAAATTGAGAAAAACAACAAAACAAATCTGAAAACAGATGATATGAGATAGATCAGCCAATGGGGTCACCTGGTAGAGAGCATCGCTCTGTAAAAGACTCTTGTGGCCGACCTCTTGGTGCCTGAGATTCTGTTCTCCTTCTCCGTTTGTTGCCATTATTGCAGCGAATTAATTTTCTGTGTTTTTTCCTCTTTGGTTTTGTTTCGCCGGAGTGTTGGATCGCCGGTGAGCAGAGAGAGCCTGAGTTTGGGTGAAGAGGAAATCAGGGTATATATAAGTGGAGAGATATGCAAGGCTTGACAAAATGAACAGTTTTGATCATTGAAACGGGATTTGTGATAGGCTCCAAAGACCCGAATAGCACCCTTCATTCCAGATGATGAACTGGAGAGAAGCCGAGCCCATATTGAGAAATTATATACAATCTCACTTTGTTAATCCAATGATATATAAGTGAGATGATTGCTGGTTGAGGGTGCTCGCGATTTGGCGGTTCGGTTGCGGCCAAAGGAATCTCAAATCCGTCATCCGTTCGCCAGATTGGCGGATTGGAGAAAATCAATCCGCAACCGTCCGCTCGTCATCACGCATCCGTCCAAAATGCGACAGATCGGTTCGGTTCGGTCGATTTTGATGGATCGATATATCCGCTGCTCACTCTTACAACCAACAAAACAAAACCAATTTTGAGTGCACCACTTCACTTCGACACACTCATCACCACAATTGAACCCTATAAAAGATAAATCACACATATTTTTTGAAATTTATTTAACATATAAATTATTTTTTTATAATTTTAAAAGTTATATTTTATCTTTTAAAATTTTTAATTTCATAACAAATAACACTCTTATTAATAAATTATCAAATCAATTAATAATTTTTAATAATATCAAAATTTTATTTTAATTAATAATTTAAATAATTTTATTATTATATAAGAGAGCAGTTAAATATTTTATTTGTTCAATTAATTTTTCTATTAATTAAAATATTTTGACAAGAAAATATTTATAATTTTTTATATCACAAGTCACAATCCATATTTTAAGTAAATTTTAAAAAATATATATTTTTTTCAATCTTAAATTTCTATTTAAAATTATAAATCAAATACAGCTTAATGAAATCCATGTTTTACCCCCAACTATTTAAATAAAAAGCAGGGGAGAATACAATTTGGTTAGAAGCAAAAATTGGAAAACGATTTGGAATCAGAGTTTGTCAGGAGAATTGGCATGTAAGATTGGAATGATTAGTGACAAAATTATAGGTTTTGACAAAATTGTACAAATTTCTTTTTTAGCTTCAATTGACAATTAAAAGAGAAAAAAATTATTGAGAGACAATTAAAAAAATTGAATTAATTTTGAAAAACTTTACAAAGACAAAAATAATACTTCTTTTGGGAGTTGGATTATTTTGGAAACACAAGAGGTGTGGCACTATAGTAAGATTTTGGGATATAAGTTCTGATGTTCTAAGTTTCATTTTCATCGGGGTTAGTTATTCAGGCGACAACACATATAGTTAATAAAATGAACCTTTCAGACCTAGGCTAACCATACCCACTGTCAAGAATGTGAGTTCGAATCCCTGTATGTGTGCAAGTTCGTGACTTACTGCTATATGGTCGAGTGACCCTGCTATGTAATAACCACCTAAGAATGACTTTTAAAAAAATATAAATAAGTCTTTTTTTTTATAGATAAAATTCTTCTTATAAGGCTAAAGTTATCGAACCTAATGAAGATAATATATACGCACGTGGAGAAATAAAATAAACTATACATCTTAATATAAAAAATATGATAATATTATTTTTTTTGTCGATACAGTTAATGAATTACGAATGAAAGTAAAGTAAGTGCCGCATGAAGTAAAAAGTTAAGAAAATTCAATATATTTGTACTTTTTGTGATTCATTTTGTAATTATTTTTGTATACATAAAAAATTTGTTTGGATCACCAAACCTTTAATAATAATGTTAAAAACATAAAAATACATGGATGGAGAAGATTTAATAAAATTTGTTGCAAGTCCACTTCTTAAAAATTAAATTTAAGTATTTGTTCTCTGTGTTTGATTTTATATTTAGTTGTTATATTCTTAAGCTTATTATATTTTTAAAATTAATCATTTATAATCCATTAAATTAGTAAAAGTAAATTTGGAGGTTCCCTTTTTTTTTTTTTTTTTTAATAAAGGTTGAGACCCCTTGACCCCCTTTAGTTTTGATTGGTCAATTTTTTTTTTTTTTTTTTTTCTTCTCACCCGATCCCCAACCTCCTTGTAAGGGGATCGTGGGGGTGGGTGTTTTAAGGGGGTCTAAATCAATGCCTTTTTTTTAGGGTCCAGCTTGTCTCAAGTTGAGATCAAGACTGGACTTGTCCAGTTCGGCCCATGGGGCCCATTTTGGGCCCGTTTTGATAATCCGAACCGTTAATGTGTAGAACTCGTCCAGTACTATATGCCTATAAAAAATCACGTTGATCGGATATCAATAACTATGTGATCAAATCAGTTTTGTATAAAAAAATAGACGGTGAAACAATTAACGGTTGATAAAAAACTGTTTTGTTCACATAGCTATCGATATCCGATTAACATGATTTTTTACAGACATGTAGTATTCGATGCGTTCTACACATTGAACGGTTCAGATTATCAAAACAGGACCCGTAGTGGGTCTCCATAAGCCCAACAGTACGGCCTAGTTCGATCTTGGACTGGACCAAAGCCACTGCCTTTTTTTTATACATTTTCTATGTGTGTATTTATAATGAGATGCAAATCATGACACGAGTTACTAAAGTTAATATTGATATATGTGTAAAATGGGTATTAAAATATATTTAAAAGATTGATTAGTGAACATTAATTAGCAGGATATTTAGGTTTCGAAATCCATTTTTAATAATTTAATTGATTATAATTATTGGTTTATAAAAATTAATGTAGTTTGCACCAATGAAAAAACGGATTCTTGCAATTTAGCTTTTTAATGACGTCAACATGGAGTTTTATGACGTCATAATGCTTGGTTTTAATGGTCGACCCATGGATAGGATTTGGATCATATGGTGTAGGTTTTTTTTTGGCCCTTTTTTGTTAGTACTTGACTATCATATTATTATAATATGTTGGTATCTCTGTCAATGATTGAATGTGGGGGTGGGACCACCAAAATGTAAAATGCCGAGTTTGGGCCAAACGCGGTTGGTTGGTGAAAGGTTGGTGAGTGGCAACTTCGATCCACAAAATGCAAAAGAGTTGGTGGCCATCTCCTCATGATTTATTATTCTTTTCTTTTTAAACTCAAAATTGCTTTTCGTTAAAGTTGTCTTATGAGTTTAAATTTTAAGTTGGATTTTAAGTATGAATTTAAGTAGGAATTTAAAATATATAGGGTTGTTTTAGAAAGCAGATTAAAAGTTAATTTTTTAATTTTTTTAATTTTTTTTAAAACAATGTTGAAATAAAAATAGAGATATGATATGAGTTAAAAGAGGTTAAAAATAAAAAGTTGACTTTTAATCTCTTCGCAAAAAAAGCCATAATTATATTTCAAAAATCCTTTTTATTTCATTTTTAAAATTTCTAACTTTAAAGGAGGAACAATCGGACATTTAAATAAAAATTATAAAATGAGACAAGTTATAGAATGTGTCACTTTTTTTTCATTCTAAAAAAATCACTTAAACTTTCTGAGAGATAAAATTTTCCATGCGTTAGAATTTAGAAATACAAAGTAGCTAATATGTATGATCATCATATTTTATTCTGCTTTATTGACCAATTTACATTTTAGAATTCAAGTCAAATTGTAATTGATTTCTCAAACATCGTTTCAAAAACTGAGAGAGAGTTAAATGAAAGAATTAAATTGTGATTTTCATAAAGTATATTAGTGGTAAGTATTAAATTAGATGATAAATAGGCTCATAATGATGCTAATTTGGTATCTACTAAAATAGAATAATGTTATATTTATCAATTAATGTATTAATTATTATACTAATAGATAATGTGATATAATTTTAAAGGTTTTAGATATTTGTAATTTGTATAATAGGTAGGGTCAATAATAATGACATAATACTAATTGTAGGGACATAATTTTTGAATGACAACATGTGGCCGAGGTGTCACCGGAGTGCCAGCCAAAGTGCCACGTGTCATGGTCATGATGCCGAAATGATCTCGGCTAAGCCAAGGTTATCTGCGAAGATGTCGGAATCCGAGATAAACGGATAAGAGACAAGACTCCTAGAATGGGAGAAGACTTCAGTTTGGATTAAGATAACACTCTTAGAGAGTTTATCCTAATTCAACTGGGAGTCCAAGATTAGCAGTAATCTTAAGTCCATTGGAGCTAGGCTTCTATTGGGACTAGAATTATGTTGGCTATAAAAGAGAGGCACCCTCATGAGTCTAAGCCATGTCTTTTTATGCTCAAGCTAGTGAGTTTAGCATATTATCTTTGAGAGATATTGAGTACTGACTTGATCGTCAGAGTACCCCCGGGTAGCAAACCACCACCGGAGTCTTCTCTTTCTGTTGCAGGTTAGTTAGGTGCCATCTATTCTGCCGGTGCTCTCCAGCTGGATACTAAGTTGGCAGTGTGGTCGAAAATTGACACACACAATTTGGCGTCGTCTGTGGGAACGAAAGGAGAATAGATGGCCAACGACAGACCTAAAGAGAAGGTTGGGGATGACACCCCTACAGAGAGTGGGAAACATATTGACCTTGACGTCGAAGAAGACAACTACAACGAAGAAACTCGTGATAAGAATCACGGAGAAGAGGATGTCGGCCAGGAGGGCGACGTGCCGAAGAAATCAGACCGAAGCAAGTAATATAACGAGGACGACCTCCAGCCACCGTTCCCGTCACAAGATACACCGATTTCAGCAGCCAAGAAAAATGCCCAGGCAGGGGGGCAGAAGACAACTCCTACGACTCCTCAACATGATAGGACTAAGGAACATTCTCACCGGCCTTCAAGGGAGGTCGGACGAGGAGAATCAAGAAGGGGAGATTCACAAAGGACACATCGCACCAAGGAAGCTGACTCCAAAGAACATCGACATGTTCAGGGGAAGGACCTCTGTTTCAACGCGACCAATGGAGGGAGGTCCAAAAGGACTCGCAATGACATAGGAAGTAGTGCACCAAAGAAGCTGAAATCCAAAGATAGCCGAGCTCCTGGACGAACCAAAGAGGATCTGAGGGATTACCTCCAA